ATTAATTGTTAATTGCGGTTCTCGCAACCAATAATTGATCAATCGTTTGCTGTTTCGCAATTGGCAATTAATTAATTGTCATCTTTAATTGCCAGCACAATTAAATTTTGCCCAACACTGGTATCAACTGTCAAAATAAGAGTGAAGAAGACGGTAATGCAACTATTAATTAATTAAATTGTCATAAAATTCAATATTCAGAAACATCATCTTTCACAATCTATAGACAATACTTGGTACTTGGTACTTGGTGCAACGGGCTGGTATCCGCAACTCGACGACAAAGCGCCTATTTTGCGTGTAGACAATATTATCGACAACGAATGAATGAATGAGTGAATGAAATATTCTTTATTGCACATAAAATTACAGTTAAAATACAATACAATAGCTTAAGTACAATAGTAGTAGTAAATTAAATGTGCAACAAGCGCCCTTATTGCTATACACAACGACTACATGATTACTTACATGATTATTAAAAAAAAATACTAAAAATGGCAACCCTGCGAACGATACTTTACACCATTTCGGAAAAAATATAGTCACCAGCGACCGGGAATCTGTTACGATTTATTGTTGAACGGTACTCACTTGGAGGGCGTCGGTGACGGGGGGTTCGTCTGAGGAGAGCGCGTCGTTAGCGACGGGGCGGTAGGCGCCCTTGGAGCGCCAGTCCAGAGGCTTGCGCTTCTTCTTCGCCGGCGCCTTGCGTGCGTGCACGGGCGTCGAGTGCGGCGAGTCGGCGGATGAGTCGTCGGGCAGGCCACGGTACGCGCCGCGGAGCCGCCGTCCCACCGCCGGGGAGCCCTGCGGCGACTCCAGCTGCACCACCTGACACGCAAGATGTAACGGTAGACATATCCCTCGGGGTCGCCTCAAATTGGTGTAATTACAAGTGACGGGCGCAATGACAGTGCTCCACAGATCTTTGAGATTTTAAGCTCTGAGTGGCACTATAACTGCTATGGACAGGCGTATCGCTTACCACCAGGCGCACTACGCTACACACTTTACATTACATTTAGCGTTTGTATCCGAAGTTTCAAAAAAAAGGCCCGAATATAATGTTTCTCAACACCTTACTTTATAGGGATTAAGGTAGTCCCGCACGCATTCCACATATAAGTGAAAGCTTAGATTATTATGATTTGTGTCGTTTTTAATGTCTAGATGTAGATAACCTATCACAAAGTCGAAAATTTTTTTGTCCGAAATAACGTTTGTTCGAATTTTCATTACACCGAAAACCGAATTATAACGAAACAGTTGTTCTTTCAGGATATGTTGAATACTTATCGCAAAGACACGACTAAATTTGGTTAGGTTTAAAAGAAAAAACATTTTCATCTCAAAATTACTTTCTTTCGAGGTTATGAAATTTCGACCAAACGTTATTTCTGGAAAATGTCATTTCGGACTACTGATAGGTAACCCTGGATGTATCACGAACGGCACGAGTTTAGCGCTCGTCCGATTGTCCCTTTTCCAATTACGACTGAAGTGTTGATGAGTTTATTGCCGTCAACGTATGTCTCAGGGTAACAGACGCAGTGGCGATGCCGCTCAGATCTTTGCGATTTAAAGCTCTGAGTGGCAACAGGCGTGTAGCTCACCATCAGGCGCACGACTTGTTCTTCCCGTCACTTGATATTATAAAAAAAAATACAGCAGACAGGTGACGCGACGCTGCGATGTATTTAAATCGAGCATTTGCATTGTTTTTTTCTTACAACAAAAAATGAAAAAGCAGCAAGCGGTGGCCAGCGAAGAGCTACGCCGGGCGCACTTTATAAATGCAATATAATATATTATCTACTAAATAAAGTATTAATTTCTTCTAACAAAAAAAGTACCGCTGTCGTCGGCAGTTTATGCCGCCACAGGCAATGCAAATTGTTTCTATACAATGCAAATTGTTTTAATGCATCGCTGCGTCGCGTGGTCAAGCTATGGCATTTTTAGGCAATCCGTACACAGATTCTATTAGCTCTTTGATTCAGTTAAAAATTAAAAATCTAATGTTTTTATTATTATTTAATTTTGTTACAAATTGTCCGTATTCATATTAAAAAAATAAATAAATAAAAATAACACCAAGAATATTTCAAAGTGAATGGGTGATTTACCTCTAAGCGCGTCTCAATTTTAATAGTGTCGTCGTCCATATCGAGTATGGAGAGGTTATTATTGATAGAGTTGTAATCGGGGTAGGGAGCTGCGGGGGGTGCGGCCGGTGCGGCGTTTGCGGAAGCGGTCGTTAGGTAAGGATCCCCGTAGCGAGGAGACTCACATTCGCTACCCGAACCTACGTCCGATTCTCTTCTAGAAAGAAACGAAATAATTAGTTTATAGAATTACAGGACAAAGTATGATATGTTTGATACTATTTATTTTTATCCATTTTTGGTTTAAACGGTTTTTTCCCGTAGTGCCACTTTGACAATTTATGAGTTTTTTCACACTGTATATATTCATCTACACTACAGTGTGAAAAAATATTCATCTATTTTTCACCAAAAAATAGATGAATATCATGGTAGTAAAAACATCATGATATTCAACTATCTACTAAGTAGCGTAACTGGGTAATTTTTAGGTTAGTTTTCTGAGTCTAATTTCGGTTAATAAGTAATCAAATATATTATTGTGAAACATTAATCAATGTTTCAGGATATTACACTCGAATATTAATGTTTCATGATAATATTCTAAAATATTTAAATAATAATTTCCACCGAAATTATGAAGAGTAAATCCACCTGAAAATTACTCAACTATCAAAAGTATTTAAACCAAGTAACCTATTGTAATCGGGAGTCCTCGGAGCCGTGGGCGTTGCGCCAGAGCCGTCAGGTTCTCCACTAAATACCTCGCCGTCTTCGGGATACAATGGAAATCTGTGATAAATAATAAAATTGCAAATTATAATAAAAATAATCATCGTTGGGTCTATTATGGACAAAATGTGTTTGAGTATAAAAATTAAGTTAATACCTATAATTATCTTCCGATAGGCGGTCATCGTCATCATCAGTCGCAATAAATTGCACGCAGAGAGCGCAGTCACCTTTGACGCTTTGTAAAGCCTGCACCGCTTCCTTGTGGCATGCCTGTATTGTCAATTATTCGTAATAGTTTTATCACTTATTATCATTGAACTTGCCGTATGAACATTTAAAATACCTGTGTGAGGTCGACATCGTTGATAGCGAGTATAGCGTCGCCGACGTAAAGCTCACCGGTCAAAGCTGCGGGACCACCCGCCTCCAACTCCGAGATTAGGATTGGCACCCCGTGTTCACGACCACCCTGTAATTGTGCACACCAACATTTGTAAGACGGAAATAAGGAAATAGTTCAAATAGTTAAAAACATAAAGGTCATAATTATGGATTACTAGTTGTATCCGTGGTGGACTATGGCCTGAATCCTCTTTTAGAGGACACCCGTACTTCAGAAACTTTTAGGCGTGCGGGCACTACAACTTACGAAATCACAATCGGATAAATAAAAATGGAATACATGCGTCACGGGACTAGAAAACACACATTCTTTATTATACAAATGAAAAATGAAACTGGTGAAATTAGAGGCACATGGGACTTGTCAACTTGTCTCAGGGTGGCGAGCGCAATGGCAATGATCCTCAGTTTTTTGCGATTCAAAGCTCTGAGTGGCACTGCAACTGATACGGATAGACGTGTCGCTTACCACCAGGCGCATAACTTATATTCGTCTAGTCACTTGGTATGATAAAAGACTTGTAGAGCGTACCGTAACGGAAATGCCCAGTCCTAGATGTGGTGAGCGTCGTACTCGCACCGTACGGGGTCTAGAGCGTGTATCTCGTCCACCAGGTGCCTGCGGAGGACGCGATGGTCGTGGTGAGAGACCACGACATACACGCACTAAAGTCTTGTGCCTCTGCAGAAGAATTTCTGCTTCCACCTAAATCAAATGATAACATAATAATAACGCATTTGAATTTAATATCGGGTCTTAAATTTTTTAAACATTTCAACAAGTTCGTTATTGAATTGAAACCGAAATTGTGCAATTTTCAGCGGAAACCGCAGAAAATGTTAACACTGATTAAATCTTGAATAAAATAAACCTCATCTAAAATTTACAAGAACGCAAAATCGAAATCGGACCACTCAACAAATCTGAAATAGGAAAATAACACTGAAGGAAAATAATAACGCAGGAAATTAATACAAAGGAATATAAAAAATTAGACTATTTTTTATTTTTTAATTGGACCTAAAATAAAAAGTAAAATAACCGACTTTGATAAGTGTTTCACTATCTGTGACGGTATGCGTAGTTGTTATAACGCGATCAATAAAAACCCAGTTTTTGCTCTTGCTGGTTTTGCGCAAGATAAATGTTATTAGAATTTAAATCTTTAGAAGAGACTTGGCGTTATTGTTATCAGATCATCATTGATCATCTCCCCAGATGCACAAACACAACCTATCCATAGAATAATATAACAAGTAGTGACAAACTCAGTACGTCAGAGTCAGTGTCTAAAAAAATAAAATAAAATAGTAGACGTGTTTATTCTTGTGTTTCCACAAACAACCATTTGTTTGAACACGAGTGCCTCCAATTCACAATTGTTCAGCATTTAACGCATTTAATTTCTATTTCATAATCATAATCCTATAATCCAGATACCATACTACCCGCGATGCTAGTATAAAACCAATAATACGCAAGTATAAATGCTAACTAAGTAATATATAAATAATCTTGCAATTGTTTACTTTACCATAGACCTTCAATAATCATTGTAATTTTTTAAGTTTATTGAATGTCACGATGTTTGACCAACATTATTTTCAATTATTTTTGTGAAATTATTCCATTCGTTTCGAAATAATTATTAATACAAAGATCGAACACTAAGAAATAATCGTTTCGATGGATGGATTCGAAAAATCATTTCTAAATTACACTTTTGTATTTATCCTCGAAAGTACTTTGTAATAAAACTGGATGTGTAGATTGGTCGGGGTGTAATATTAAGATTTACACAGTTGTGCTCACTATCTACACATTTACTGTCGATAACGATCTTGAGACTGAATGATTTGCAAATTGGTTTGTTTTAATATGGCGCGCTGTAAAATAACATTAATAATTAATAATATAATTTCACTAGCGACACTGTAAATTACCCGCCAAATTGCTAAGTTACAGTTACCTTTTGTCTCACACCACTAACTACGATGTGGTACTAAAGTTTATATGTGTAATGTAGTTTATATTATTTATTAATATGTTGAAACAAACGATTTATTATTTGTTGACAAAGATTTTTTCAATATAGCACGAGAATAGTGTGTTGAATATTTATTGTTTTTTCAAATGTTTAAAACCCGAAGACAAGTACAACTAAAACAATAATGTGACAACCTTACAATCCAAGGGACGTGTAAGCATTGAGGTGTCGAACCGGCGGGAGTTGAACTACTTGTCTTATTATGCATACTTTGCCTTAAGTCTCTGTAATACTTAGTAAGCAAATATTTAATTTACCTGTGCCCAAAGCGAATCCCTGAGCTCTGCTCGCATGTCCCGTCCTAAGAGCTGTAGCTGCTGTATCCGACCTGCCAATTCTTTGTCTAGGTACTTCGTGGCTAGTCTGTTGACAAAAATAACCTTTGAAGTGTTCAAAGTATATGTAGCAGGTATCAAGCGAATATTTTTTCTTTCGATGTACTGTAAGGCACTTACAAAATAATTAGTAGAGTTACAACGAATATGCAGTTACTAATCGGTATTCAGTTATTCGGCTGTTTTCTGCTATTTGACCGTATACCGAATATTGAATTACTATTCGGTCGAATACTGAATACAAAAAAGAGGAGGCAGAAAAAAGGAAAAAACAGAGTAAATTATAATGTAACTTTTATTAACGCTGAAATTCGCGAAAGCGCAATTTTCGCATAACTGAATTATTTTAAGAGATAGAAAATGAAACATGTCAAATGAAAATTATGTAGTTTGTTTAATCATGACTAAATAAAGCTAGAAAAATAAACCAAATACCTACTAATTATTTGCAAACTAGTATAAAATCTTTTTAATATAAAGTTTTTGAAAGTTAATCAAACTAAAGCCAACAATTTTATTATTTTCCTTGTTAAGTCATAAATTTAAATTGTGAACTTGAAAATTAAAGTACATTTTTTGTTTGATAGTACAAAATTATTTACCATAGCTGAATTTAATAAGTGATACTTTTAATCAGGCCAAATAATTTACCCAAATATTCTGTACTCAGCCAGAAGCCGAATACTATTCATTGCAGCAATACTTATAAGAGAACCTACCAGAATTGGATAAAACATACCTAGCACCAAAGAGTTCCGAGTGCAGGGCGAGGACGGTTTCCCTGAGCGCGGCGTTTTCTCTAGCTAGCTGAGCGGCTTCGGAGCGAGCTCGGGCAACATCCGTCACGTTGCCCGCAGCATCACCAGAGTCCTGCATACCACCTGCGAACATACAAGCTAATTATTAGATATTGGAACCGTTCTTTTAGTTGTATTCGGAGACTAATACTAGATATGGTCATATGTGTTAAAAGTCATCAATTTCTAAGCACAAATGTTAAAATAATCATTACCAGCACACGCGGCTCTTGCTTGTACCAATTCCGCCCTCATGTCTACGAGTTCCGCCTGTAACAAAAGAAATACTGCGTTAAAGTATTAAATATGGCGGCGAACAAATGGTCGGTGTCATGTGTCAGCAATAAGTAGTGTCCGATGTCAGTGTACAATGGGGTCTAATCGATCCCGAAATCAGTGGCGTAAATCCGAAATTAACGTCGACAGATGATGTCCGCCACCAGCGCATGAGCGCGTAAAATATATGACATTTGCACTCGCACAACAGAATCTTACGTTCGTTTTATGTTTATGTATGAAATCATACATCGATGCATTACTGTAAGAAATTCATTTAAGGGACAATATATAAACTTGCATAATAACATTCCGGTTGATATTAAAAATGTGCCATTTACGAGGTTTAATAGTGAAACAAAAACTTTATACTAAAGGTTATTTATTACTCAGCTTCTGCGTACTTGGAAGACAAGAATCCGTGGTAGTGACCCGTTTGGCTCTTGCAGGTAGTCTCAATCTAAGATGTTTGAAATAAATATTGTAAATGTTAAATGAATTCAAATATAGTATATATTTAAAACAGTAACCCCTGGAGTTTTGCTCGTTCTTCTCAAGGGACTCTACCTTACGGATGAGCAGTATTCTTAAGGGACTCTACCTTACGAATGAGCAGTAGAGTTTAATTAATATGAAGATTTCAAGTAGTTATTTGCTTACCTATGAAATAACGATGATTTAAATTTGAAAAATTCAAGACTGTGAGCATATAAGTTGCTAAATACGGGTAGGTTTACCTTTGTTAATCTTATTAGCAAGTAGAATTTAGCATTATCTGTTTCATAAATTCAACTAAGCAAACTGATCCTCTTCACAACGCTCCAAGACAAACCGAACTATTTTCATTTGCGCATTCAAGCAATGCAATTGGTGATGAATAGTGGTGATAATTTTGATCGGTCTAGCCATACGGGTAATACATTATGTGTTAGATACATAACTATGTATGTGTAAGCATTGGCATCTCATACATAACGGGCAACATACATAGTATAAATTATTACATTATTCATGTTTACGATGGGCTGTCAGAGGGAAATGCCAGGCAATAGGGGGCAATACGGAAGCACATCGCATCGTGTAATGCAGTAGGCCGGGCGCGAAACGATCTCGAGTGGCTGGGATGCAACGCGAGCCGCAGATGCGCGGTGGTCCTGTTACATGCTATCTATAAACGGGATAGGTGTCTATGTATGTAAGAATAAGAACGTCTATGGTATTCTTTAACTAATTATAACCCAAATAAGCACAACATGCTGAAATGAGTAAGAATATAATACATTATATTTTTTCTTCATTTTCTAGGTACAGGGTATTATTACAAGCATACGACAGCACTTCTCAGATATTTGCCATTTAAGGCTCTGAGTGGCACTGCAAATGCTATGGACAGGTGTGTCAGTTACCAGCAGGCACACAACTGCTCGTCCCGTCACTTGGTATCATAAAAAAAAAAAACAAAGTAACTTTGTCTGGTTTTTTTTACTTTAACTGAGAGTAACAAGAGTTACTAAACTATGAATGAAAAGAAATTTATACTTCGTTTTTTTAAAGCTAGAAAAAAACGTAAACAATGAAGCAGTGATCTCAAACCTTTTTTGCAGACAAGAAGAATACAAGGTATTTTATTCGCTGAAAAATGTAGCTTACAAAGAAGATGCTACAGTATCTGTTATATTAAGTAAGATTGTATATTTCCCCAAAACTTGGCATGCGAATATTATACACATTTCTTATTTTGCTTTTGATACTTATAGCATGCTTTTAACTTTAAATTATCTAAAATTTAATTAATTTAGGGCGTTGTTTGGGCCTTATTTCTATCTCATTTCTTGTGTTTCTAGGATATTTACTTTTGACTAAATTAAAGTTGCCTAGATTTTGTTTGATAAATACACAGGCCTCATAAATGTACATTGATGTTTTTTAAAGTACAAGTTTTTTAAACACAAATCTCTCGCTGACCCAAATTGACACATTTGAAGCTTTAGAATCGTGTCTTATTAACATGCTGTTGCGAGTCCTGAGCGGTATTGGCTATAAATTGGGATTTTACTTTCAGTTCTCACACACCCTGCTCATTATCCTTGACATGCTTTTCATAGGCACGTACATAACAAATATTCCTAACTATTGCAACCTTCTAACAATAAGTTTTATTGTACTTATTTTACGATCAATAATTCATAACACAAAATGTATGGGATGACAATTAAATAATGTATATAATAATCAATATGTTACGAATTACCAATAATAATGATGTGCGAGACAACCACACCAATTACATGGCCTCTTCCTAGAGAAGTCCCAGTACTACGAGTATCAGAGCGACATAATTAACTCTGGGGTGCTACCAAGAACACTCAGAACCAATTTAGAAAAGTTCGGTTCCCAAATTGGTTCTACCGGGAATCGAACCCGGAACCTCCGCATCGAGTGCCGACGAAACCAACCGTCTTCAAAATTAAGTTATCAAATTTTCAGGTCCAGTCAAGAAGGTCTAACAGTGACGTACATACTACGTGCAAGACTGCACATTTCATTATGATTTTAGTTTAGATTACAGACAACATAGTCAGTTCTCATCACAGAATGAAGTGGAATTTCTCAAACATTTATGCCCATTATGTGATCGATCGATGAGATTATAACTGTTGGACCTGCGTTAGGAAGTGCATAGTGTAGATGGATATGAACATCATGGTATAAAATTCAATAAACACAACCTACGCCGCTGATTCCAAGATCATTATCGTTTAAATGTTGCGTGGGCGACTGTTGTAACGAGTGATTGTGCGTATTATAACAATGTGCGAGAAAAACACCTATGCTACACAATATGTGCATCGTATTTGTACCATAAATTAACAGTTATCGTTCATCGGAACAATGAATACGCTTCATTGGGACCGCAATAAAAGCGAAGTAGCACGATTCCAGCCCTGTATTCTCGTTCTCCGTCCGACACAATTACTATGAAATAAGTAATACACGACCACATTAACAGACGCAAGATGCGAATGAAGCACACCTACATACCCATATATATACATAACTGGCATTGCTTTTAATTTAGTCGAATATCACTTATTTGACAGTACAACAAGAGTGGACCCCCAATGCCGTAGGCGATTCAAATATCGACTTCAAGTTACAGTTACGTTGTTCTTTACTCGCCTTTACTAATTAACTTTCAAGAGTTGTAGGTTGTCATGCCACGTGCATTGATGACAAATGTGTTGGTAACAATTTTAAAGTTTACAGTAAATGGACGGTCCACAGAATATAAGCCGAAGAAAGCTTTGCGGTCGTGTACCTACACGATGTGATGAAAGAGACTCAGTCCTTTAAGGTCTTTCAATAAACATCGACTAATTTTTAACGCCTCACTACTAGTCTAGTCTTTTAACCCTCAAGTCTTGAGGTATAAGGATAAAACTGAAGGATCCCTAGGAAGCTTAAAAACTTATAGTACTAAAACGACTGGCGCCTCATAGCCTCGGGAGTCGCGAGTCATAAGCCGTATGGCGTGATTTTATTTCTACCCACAAGGTATTTATATTACGATTTGTATTATAAGTAAATAAACGTGATTATTTACTACATACTACTTACTGAATTTTTATTTATAAACTTCGGGTTTAATAAGACATAAAATAGGTATAAGTTCTTTGCAAATAACTCGACTCGTTTAAGTCTTTCAAGTCGTTTAAGTCTTTTGAGTCTTTTAGTACAAAGACTAACTCTTATTAATAAAAACTCGAATCTCCAGTCTTAATTTTAGAATCGAGTCCTATATATAGTCGAGTCGTTATAAAACGCCTTAAAAGACTAAGGGTCGTATTCTAGAACTCTACTCAATGCTTAAGTCAGGACTTGAGTATGATTCAAAGCACTAGAAATCATACTCAAGTCCCTGCCATTAAGGTCGTATTTCCAGTGCAATCCTGACTTGAGCATTGAATAGAGTTCTAGAATACGACCCTGAGTCTCTTTCATCACTACGTGTAGGCGTGGTTGATTGCAGATAACGTTCTATAGACGAAATATCAATTCATCGGCGTTCGATATCATTGCACGGATCAGATAGATTGATCTCGGCACGTGCCTGCAGGCACACGGGGCTCTATGACAACTTATGCTAAGAACATACAATAAATCAACTGTCTCTCCGCGTCGACACTCTTTGACTCGACAATTGTCTCACGAGATGAAATTTGACCACACGTGTTTTAATTAAGTTAAAATATGGCATTTGCTGTTGTTTTACCGTTTCCATTTCCAGAAAGACGAAATTTTGAACTTTGATTGTTTGCGGATCACAATAAATAACTATATATAAAAGTTCAGTTACATGTGCTAGGGACCTTCATAACAAAAGACAACTTACTTATTTTCAAATAATGTTGGTACTAATGAATTGTATTATTAAGGATTTATTGATGCATGCACGATAACAAAAATCTGTTTTTGGTGAAGACACTAAGGCTCAACTCACACTGGAGCAGAGTCGATGCATCGCGTCGCGTCCTGTTTTTCAACGCTTGGCGACGCCCGTTTCCATATTTGCATAACACAAATTTGTACCTTAATAATGGGAAAACAGAGATGCATATACTATGGGCAAAAAACATAACGCGTCGCGACGCTTAGACTCTGCGCCAGTGTGAGTTGAGCCTTACTCTGACTCCAATGTTATATGTTTTAAAGTACGAATACATACTATAAGGTCTATTGCCAATTTTTTTTTTAGATCAACGATAAAAAATAAAATTAATTCTAAACACGCAGGCGATTTAGAAGATTTTTTATCAACAATAACGGTAGTACCTAAACTTATGCAAGAATTGGTTCCGGTGTCTTCACCCACGCCTGGACACTTGACGCTTGTGCAACTGCACCGGACCCGCTACACTTGCATCGGAATCTAATGCTGCAACGCGCACATTATCATAAAATTTATTTTCGTCTATGGCTTTCATTCGAGTTTG